TTTTTCACAGCACAAAGAAACTGGCTGCATTGTTTAATTTTTGCCCTGGGTTTTTATTTAGTCAAGATGCATTAAAACACAGGCTGCAGAAAGATGAAAAGCCAGATTAATTGTAAATAAGCCGTTAATTAGGCATTTGCATTCAAATCAGTTTTTAAAGAAAATGACAGACAAATGCTTGGCTGTTTCTGTGATACAGGAGAGGATGTGAAGCCCGAGCGCATCACAGAGTCTCTGCTGTTCCACTGTTGGTCTGTTTTCCTGCTATTTCAGTGGAATTGCATCAGTGTGGTAGAGTCCTGCAAAACCGACAGGGTGGAATTCATTATGCTGGTCTTTCTCAGTATTCCTCATGAAGAACTTGAGAATTAAAGGCCGTCTGTGAAGAATGCAAAGTGTTGCAGTAACCCAAAAGTGCTTGCGGGTTTTTCCAGTACCTGTCTGCCCAAGTACTCCTTTTGGCCACACATGAAAACAAGTGTGCGTGGGTACGAGGGCACCTGATTTAGAGAAGCCCCAATAAAATTATGTGGGCATCAAATGCCTGGACGTAGACGTGTTTCAGCCGCCTGCATTGTAACCTGAATTAAATGTGAATTCTGTTTGGCCACCTTCTTTAAATGACCCCGTATTGCTTAGCAAAGAGTCAAGTACCCGACTCTTTTGGAGTAGTTGGAGTAGTTGAGAGCATCCAGGAAGCAAAACTGCCTGTGAACCAAAAGAAACGGTACTGGTGCTCCAGCCTAGCAATGCCGTGGCACCGGTGCAGCCCCCCTCTGAGCAGGAAATAATTCTGGGCTGCACAGTTTTGTTAGGCGGGAGCCACGGCCCAGGCAAGAGGAGGCCGCTTGCTCCATGGAGGTGTCAGGGCCCCTCGCTCCTGGCACCTGAGGGGCCTCGGAGGAGGTTCCTCAGAGTTACCACCACCCTATGTGCATGTGGATAACTTGGAATATTCCAGTTTGTCACCATTCTGTTGCTCCCTGTTTGATCTTCCCCTGAATGTTTATGATAAATGCATATTCCATCTGGTTAGTGCACCCTTTGGTGCTGAAGTTTGCCAAGAGCAGGGCAAACTTGGGGGGTGAGGAGGGGGTGCATGGCTTCAGACAGATTGTCCACGCTTCAACCCGCTGCTCTTGGTTTGTATGTTAAGTGCTGCTTTTGTGTGTATCTCATTGGTGGCCTCTGGGTTCATTTTAAAGCCAGATTAGCCTGGCACCTGTTTTTTGAAAGTAAACGTGGGCCTTATCTTGGTCTAGCAGAAATCCCTGCTCTTCCATTTAAGGGCTGATTCCCTTTTCTTGCATCCAGAAAAATATTGTGCCAAAGTGCCTGGAGGAACTGAGAATCTGCTGGCTGTTTTGCTTGGAGTCTTTTTATTTAATTCTTTATTTCTCCTCTCCATTTTACTACCGAAACTGGCTGTCAGATGTGTTGGTCTCATCCGCAGCCCACCAGGAGGAGATGCTGATGGGAAGAATTATATTGGGAGGGGTAATGTAGTCGTGGAAGGAGAAGGGTCACTCAGAAAGGTGTTTTTTCTGGACTTAACCCCCAAAGCAGTGTGTAAGTGTTGACAGAAAATAAACAGGAAGTTCTGTCCTCAACGTGCCAATCCCCACTGCTGGGAAGCGTGGCTCACTGCCCACGGAGGGGTTTGAACGGCTGCCCAGAAAACAGGGCAGAGAACAGCCTCGCCGCCGTCTTACACTTTCTTGAAAACATGCCTCTCCGTGCTGTGCTGCCCTGCCCTGCCCTGCCCGGTCCCGTCTTGGTCTCTTTCGGCCAAATCTCCAGCAAGCAGGAGACGTGCCATCAACCCACAGCCCATGCACCCGTGAAGTCACCGCCCAGCCCCGGGCAGGGACATCGTTCAGTGGCAAGCCAGGCTGGGTCTTGTTTTTTAAGACAGCGTCTGGAAAAGGAATGAAGTAAAGCCTGCACCACTGGCTGGGAGTCCCTTGGGGAGAGAGCAGTGCCCGTGCACGAAGCTGGCCAGACCCGGCTCATGAGAAGCAGCTTTGCTGGAGCAGGTCCGGTGTGCTCCCTCCCCCCATGGCCCTCCCTGTGGGGGTCCCAGCGCTTGGGTGCACGGAGCTTTTCTGCTTGCCCGACCGGAATTTGTATCTGTCGAGAAGGCCTCCCGTTTTGCTAGGATACCTTTTTACATGTGCGTTCTGCTTAAGGTACTCTTTTGAGCTCCCCGGTGGCCATTAATACACCTCCCTGTTGCCAGGTGATCATTTAATGCCTGTTTGCGTGGAAGCTGAACTAATTTTGCCTGCCGAGCTGTAGAACTGGGAAGGCAAAGGGAGCCGTGTTGGACGTGAGAAAAAATCTCTAAAATCTATACTGGAATAATAGCTTTATTAGAGCAGCTGAGAGATTGCAAAGCAGTCACACAGGCCCTTCATATCTCTGATGTGAGAGGCAGGTACATCGGGGAGGGTGAACAAGAGCCTGATCGCAGCGCCATACGCAACAGGAAGGACCGTGAGTAAGTTTGGCCTTCCCGCAGAAGTCCTGCAGGTGTGACTATAAGATGCTGCTTCTTTGTGGCAGATTTAATTAATAGGGCAGCAGACTCATAATTAGCTTTCCAGATCTAGTTTCTCTTCTTCTAATACCCCGTTTTCCTTGTACGCTGAAGAATGTTTTGGAAACCTCGGCATCTCTGTGTTGCTAAAATTGAGTTGCTTTGTTAAAGAAACAGAGCGAGTCAGAAGGGGACTCCTGGGCCATCTAGTCTGACCCCTGGCTCCAGCCGGCTCTGCTCATGACATGCCCACCATGTGGACATCCAGCCTATCCTTGAACACCCGCACCGATGGGGCCTCAACCATCTCCCGGGGAAGCCCACTCCGCACCCTCGGGGTCCTGACTGTCAGGAAGTGCTTCCTGGCATCTAAATGGGACCTTGGCTCCCTGAGCTTTGCTCCGTTGGAGCGCGTCCTGCCTTCCTCTGCAGGGGAGAACAGGTCTCTACCCACCTCCATGTGACACCCCCTCACATACCTGTATGTTACCAACAGATCCCCTCTGAGTCTCCTCTTCTCCAGGCTGAAGAGGCCCAGTTCCCTCAGTCTCGCCTCATACGGCTTCCCCTGCAAACCGGCCACCAGCCTTGTGGCCCTACGCTGCACTGACTCCAACCTGGCTATATCCTTCCTGTAATGAGGGGCCCAAAACTGAGTACAATACTCCAGTTGCGGGCGCACCAGAGTCATGCAGAGTGGTAGTAATACCTCTCTTGATCTAGAAGCCACGCTTCTGGCTCTGCAGCCAAGGGTGGCGTTCACCCTCTTGACCACCGCATCACACTGCTGACTCATGTTCAGCCTGCAGTCAACCAGCACCCCGAGGTCCCTTTCGCAAGTGCTGCTCTCCAGCCACTCGTCCCCTAACCTGAACTTATGACACCCATTCCTATGCCCCAAGTGCAAGACCTTGCACTTATCCACACTGAACGCCATCCTGTTGTCTCCTGCCCACTTCCATAGTCTGTCCGGATCCTTTTGGATCTGGAGTACCTGCTCCTCAGTTGTGGCCACTGCCCCAGTTTTAGTATCACTTTGTGTGACAGCCTTCACTTGCGCTTAGCCAGCCATGAGGCAGTTAGAGCGCGACCTTGGAGGGCACGCTCTCCGTCTTGGAGTCCTGGGGATGCCCACCCAGGGACCGTGGGCTTGTCGCTTGGAGTCCGGGGAGGGACTTCCGAGAGAACATGGAAGGCTGCACACAAGCATTCCCATCTCTGCCACTGCCTTTTCTCTGGGGAGAAACAGATGACTGTCCAGTCACAGCGATGCTGGATTTTTAGGTTTCTCCGTTGTTTTCTGTTGTCCTGATGCAAAATCCTGGGATGGTGGAGCACGTGTCCCCACAGATGGAGTTGGACTGCAGTGACCACTGGGGAAGGATGATGGGAATCGTGAGTCTCACAGCATCTGGAGGGCTCCCCATTTCTGTTCCTGATCCAATGGGTCCAGGTGACTGGTGGGTGGTGAGGCTATTCTTTTAGCTTGTGGCTGAGAGCTGCTGAGGCTGGAAATGGGAGCGTGGAAAAAAATGGGATGCAGGATGCGGAAGGGGCCTGTCCAGCCCTGAATGCTCCCCGTGAGTGCCCATGGTTGGCACACATTCGCCGCCTCTGGCTTTTAAGCCTTTCGGCCGAGTTGGAAGAGTTGCAGACTTGAGCGAGATCTGTGGCTCAGGAAACCAAACCCTGCTCGTGGCCCTGGCTTTCGTGGCCTGCCCGCCACCTGGCCGTGTGGCCTCCCCTGTGGGCTCTGGAGGAGGAACATCCTCTTAAGTCTGGGCTCAGGGCTGCTGAGCTGGGTGCAGGGCTGGAATTGAGACCGCGATCCTCCCTACCTGGGAGGAGGGGGATTCGGCGGCCTGGGGTTGGCCAGCCCCCTGCTGTTTGTTCGCAGGCAGTGGCGGCATCAGATGGCTTGGAAGCTTGCCTTGCATTGGTGTTTCCGGTGGGCAGGAGCCTAAGCAGGGAATGTGCTGTCCCCGGGGAGCTTTGTAGGCTTGAGCAAAAGCTTCAGAAACGAGGATGGCTTGTGCGAGGTCCCGGAGCTGGCGGGTTCCCTCAGGCTTGCCCAGGCGTGGGCTGGTCAGCTCGATTCTAGACTGAAAGTATGGTTCTGGTAGGCAGCTTTCACTCTCAAGGGCTTGGCACCAAAACATGGGCTGTAAATGCTATTTTAATCTTAATTGAAGGATTCCTGAGACTTTCTGTGCAAAATTGCACTTGATATCCTTAATCGCCTCCACACTTCAAGGTGGGTCTCTTTCTCAGGGGAGGCAAGGGAAACAGCTGAGTGTCGCTAAAAACTTTTATTTTATTTTAAATCTGATGTGCAGAAGCATTCTGCACATTTGCCTAGAAGCAGAGCCCAAACAATCTTCCCATGTGGGCCCAGGTGCCTGATGCCCATGTTTTTCAGAAAATGGAGAACACGCCTCACAAAAGCTTTGCTTTGTTGCAGGTATGATGTGAATATGCGTTGCTTGGCGGCTCGTGTCAACTACAAGACGCTGATTGTCATCTGTGTCCTCTTCACCCTGGTGACAGTTCTGCTGTGGAGCAGATGCTCCAGCGACCGAGCGGTGCCATTTCTGCATAGCCCAGGCGGCAGCTTCCGAGCAGACGGGTCAGAAAAGCGGACGGCCGCCTCAGAGAGCAACGACGACGCGAACGGCGCGGCGAAGCAGCAGAGCGAGGAGGCCTCGCCGCAGGAGCAGCAAAAGGCTCCCCCCGTGGTCGGGGGCTTCCACGGGAGCAAGGTCCTGGGGCTGAAGTATGAGGAAATCGACTGCCTGATCAATGATGAGCAGACAATCAAAGGCAGGAGGGAGGGGACAGAGGTCTTCCTGCCCTTCTCGTGGGTGGAGAAGTACTTTGAGGTCTACGGGAAGATTGCCCAGTATGACGGATACGACCGGTTTGAGTTCTCCCACAGTTACTCCAAGGTGTACGCCCAGAGAGCGCCGTACCACCCGGACGGTGTCTTCATGTCCTTCGAGGGATACAACGTGGAGGTCCGGGACAGGGTGAAGTGCATCAGCGGCGTGGAAGGTTTGTCCTCGGTCTCCTTACTTGTTCGGGTTTCCTCTGGGGAATATATCTGACTTCCTTCTGAAGCTGGAGGCAAAGGAAAGAACTGGAGGGCGAAGCAGGCCAAGGAATTATTTTGTCCTGGAGTGCCAGCACTGTGCGTGGGCGCAGTGAAATGGGGTGCTTCCCGCGTGCAGGGAGGTTTTCCGAGTCATGACTCCGGCGTCCCAGCTGCCGTTTGTGTGCTGCCTGGGGATGGGTGGCTTGGAGGGCGAGCTGCTGTCCCGACTGTCAGCGATGTCTCTTCGCCTCCCACCCTTCCGCCGCTCAGGAAGATGGGTGCCGGAGAGGTGCCCAGGTGGCTTTGGCGCTTCATGCGCTCCAGAACCCATTGCCTCTGGTGAAGAGCCAGGAAGGCGGCGCAGCCTGCCCGTCCAGCCCGCTCGCCCTCACGGGGTGGGTGAGGCATGGTGCCTTTCAGGCCACCGGCTACCCTTTCCTGCTTGAACCTAGATTGTTCTGCGTGTTTCCATAAAGCTTCAAAAGTGCACACATTGTGCAAAATTGCAAGGTCATTGGCGAACTAGCCCTTCCTCTGCTGCCTGTGCTTGAAAGGCAGGAAGAGGGCCCAGGTGGAGAGTCATTCCTCTTGCGGCTTCCTACTTAATCTGGCTTTCTCCGGGGAGAGCTGCTCCTCCCAGGAATGCAGCCACCGGCCACCTTCCTTCCGAGAACTGGTCTTTGGGCTCTTTGGCCGGCCCTGTGCTTGTTTCAGCCGATGGGCCGGCTGATTTTGAGCTCTGAGGCCCAGCCCAGTGAGGAGGAGAGTCTGTGTCCTGGCAGTCACGTGCTCCTGCCAGGGAGAAGCCGCCTCGGCGGGCAGCTTTGTCCTATAGTGAAAGCAAATCCTCCGTATTCTGCCTCTCTCCAGTGGGCCTTGTGGGGGATTCAGGCGCCGCTGCCGCTTGGTCCTGTGCTTCCTGTCAAAGGGTGTGCTTGGGGGTTGCCTTCGTGCTGCCTCAGAGCGTGTGTCTTAGCGCACCTGTCCCAGGTAGCCTTCTCCCTCTCCTCCCCCTCATGTCCCCGCCTGCAGCCGGTTCCTCGGGGGGCATTTGGTACCACAGCGTCAGGCACAAGCCAGCCTGCTCTGTGGAATCGGCTCTTCGTGAAACGTCTCGTTCCCTTCCAGGCCTCCTCCTGTCTCGTTCCCGGAATAACCGTGTGTTGTCTGATGTCCTGAGACAGGGAGAATTCCATCATGCCCATCTTCCCAAATTAAAATTTGCAAGTGAAGTTTTGACGGATTTGCCTTTTGACTTCCACCCAGCCGTCTTTTCATTAATAAGAGCGGCCTCTTGCATCTGAGATAATCTGTGCTTAGGCCCTGGTGCTTTTACCCTTCAGGCAGAGACATCCTTCAGGGACTGGCCTTCAAGGTGTGGGCAGTGCATGAAAATGCATTCCTCGGTTTTGTTTCGGGCATCTTTTCCTCGCACTGGGCTCAGACCTAGCTGGTTTCTGAAGGACACACAGTGGAGGGGGAGGAGGGCACGGCTCAGGCGTGGTCTGGGGAGGCCTGGTCGGATGGGGACCGGCCGACGCTTTCTCTGGACTGGGTGGCAGTCTGTCTCCCGGAGCGTGGCGTGGCCCTGCTGGAGGCCTGGCCTCTTTCCCTGAGCTATTCGAGCTGAGCCAGGACTCACAGGACGATCTTCAGCCAGCCAGCAAATGCCCTTGCGGAGCAGACGCTTGCTTTCCTGGCCTGCTTGGCATTCTCATGGCTAGGGGCCTGGCGCGCGGAGCTTCGGGTGTGACAGCTGCACACAGGTGCTTGAGGCCGGTGACTCAGTCAGTGGGTGCCGTGGGGGCCAGGGGAGAGTCCTGGCTCGGAGATGCCCCCTGGGCTGGAGCGGCACTCGGCAGGTCGCCCACACCTGCTCAGAGGATCGGAATCAGACCAGGGGTCTCGCCTGAGCTCTCTTCCTCCCTCTGCTGCCTTGGCAGGTCGCATGATCGTGTGCAGGCAGCATCGTTAAATTGCGTGTGCGTGCAGATGGCATGCATGCGCGCGGCAGCGTGTTTGTGCGCGCACACACCTCCATCTTCCCCACTCCACGTTTTGGACTGCGGCTGTCAGTTTTCCTGACCACTGGCTATTCTGGCTGGGGCTGTTGGGGTTTGAAGCCCGAGCCATTTAGAAGACACGGGGCTGTGGAAGTCTAGCTTATTCTATAGACACTTTGCATCTATCCTAGGGGAATATTGACATTAAAAGCCTGGAAAACATTCAGAGGCAGCAAGACCTCTTTGTTTGCCTCTCTTTGCTGGAAATGCACAAGGGGTCCCGGGGCAGGCACCCCCGGACTCTCAAGTCAAGTCGGCCTCACCCTGTCTTCCTTGCCAGCAGCCACTCAAGCTCCACAAAAGCTCCTTTGCGCTTCCTCTCCCCACTTGTTATAGTTAATTGGCAGGGTGCTGTGATGGTGCGTGTCCCTGTGGGAATTTGGCAAGTATCCAGGTGCTTCCAGGCCACCAAGGGGGCTTCTCCGGCCTGGGTGGGGCCAGGGTGCCTTCCGCAAGATTCGCGTGCATCTTGCAGCCGGCCTCGCTGGTGCTGGGAAGGCTTTGCTCCGTAGATTCAGGGACCGAACAGACGGGCTGGCCCGGGGCTGGCCCTGCAGGCCCTTCGCGCGTCCCAGGCCACCCGGCCGCCCCCATTCAAGGCCCGTGGTCCTTTCCCGCAGGTGTGCCGCTGTCCACGCAGTGGGGGCCGCAGGGCTATTTCTACCCCATCCAGATCGCCCAGTACGGGCTCAGCCATTACAGCAAGAACCTGACCGAGAAAGCTCCACACAGAGAGGTGTACGAAACCGCCGAGGAGATGGGACCGGCTGGCCAGCCGGCGGAGTGGACCGTGCCCAAGGGCGGCTCTGTCACCACGCTGCCCGACAAGGCCCGGTTCACCAACGTCAAGCAGTTTTCTGTCCCAGGTGAGTCGGGGCGGGAAGGGCAGAGGGGGCCAGATTCGCCGCACGAAGGCAGCAGGCTGGGCCCCCCCCCCCCCCCCCCCCCGTGCCCCGCAGCACAGCTTGAAGAGGCCGCCCCGCCAGGGAGGCGGGATGTGCCCAGAGCCTGCACGCCAGGCGGCCCTCGCGGCTTCGGTGCTGGGCGCCCCCGGGGTGGGAGAGCCGAGGGCAGGAGCGGGCCCGGTGCGCGGAGGGTAGCGGCTGGAGGGCTGCGGGCAGCGAGCGCCCACGCCTGCTTGCGCGCGGGGGCCGACAGGCTCTGCCGTGGGCTGGGGCGGGGGGCAGAGCGAGGGGGAGCGTGAGCCGGTGGAGGAGTGAGAGATGGCGGAAGAGGGGGTGGCAGGGGACTCTCGGCCAGGGGTGCCCGTGCGGAGACGGCGGACCGGGAGCCCGCGTTCCCCCGGGGCAAATCCAGCCCAGGAGGGTCGGGGTGGTGGCCTCCAGGAATCCGGGTTGCTGGGCCTTTGCATGCAGCGGGTGTTCGGGGAAATGTTTCCAACCCCCTTGTGACATGCAAGTCTGCATCCCACTTAGGGATTGGGATTGGGAAATGCCTGCCCCTCCCTCCCTCCCTCCCTCGTATGTAGGTGTGCATGCGTGTGTGTGTGTGTGTGTGTGTGTGTGTGTGTGTGTGTGTGTGTATTTCTTCGTTATCTCATTTTGCTTCAAAATTTAAGAAAGCTCCTTTCTGCAGCAAAATGAGAGCTCGTAGGAAACATTTCTTCTCCCCACTGAGTGAAGAGAACCTCATTAATAGGGACATAATGTATCTCCCACAACTGATCAATAGCCCCTAGAATTAATGAGTCCATTACTTTCTTTGAGCTGGTGCCTCGGGCTGGGGCCCTGAGGCAGGACGTAGAACTGCCCTGGCTTTTGCAGCAGGGCGGGCATCCAGGAAGCCGGATCACAGGCGTGTGCTTCTGGCCCTTGTCTCGACGGGACAGTGGCCTCGGGCAAAGCCAGGCGCCGCTGCCCTCCGAAGCCTTCCTCTGGTTTGCAGAGTTCTTGGCGGCCCGTCCACCAGGAGGGGCGCCTGTTGCCCCGACTTCCTTTGCAGTGGGCCTGCCTTTGCCCCTCCGACCAGCCCGGCCTCCCTGTGCATGGAAGCAGAGTGGGCGTTCAGCCGGCTGACCAGACTGTCTCCACGCAGTTTCTCCTTGCTTCTGCTTCCAGTGCTGAAAGCGGCTCGCTCGGGAGTGCCAGATGGAGAAGAGCTTCTTCCCTGGGTTCCAGCCAGCCCTGCCTTCCCTGTGGTCCTCCCCCCCCACCCCGGTGTGTGTGTCCCTGCACTGCTGATTCCCCCCACCACTTCCCTCTGGGTTCTGCCTTTTGCCTGCCTGGGGTTCCCCTGAGTTTGTGGGTTCTCCTTCTGTGACTGATGCCCCTTGGGCCCTCTAAGGACCACTGATGCTCAGAAGACAGCACTGGGGCACATGCTTCGGGCTCCGTGTTGTGCTAGTCAGGTTGCCGTGCCCTGCCTGTGAACTCCCCAGAAGCATCTGGCAGGCTGCTGTTGGAAGCAGGATGCTGGGCCCCTTGGGCCTCATCCACCAAGGCAGCTGTTGTGCTCCTAATTTGTACTACAGAACGGACTGAGGGTTGGAGTGCAAAGCCCACGCTGTCGCACTGACTCCGTGCCCGGAGAGCGGATAGGCTGCCCTTGGTGTCTCCCATCAACAGGCAGCAAGAAGCCCCTCGCTTTGCAGCATAACCTGCCTCCACTCTCCCTCTTTCAGAAAATTCCGAGGGCGCCTCGCTGCCGCTGGGGAACACAAAGGACTTCATCATCTCTTTCGACCTCAAGTTCGTAACGAACGGGAGCGTTTCCGTGGTCCTGGAGACCACGGAGAAGAACCAGCTCTTCACGCTGCACTACGTCACGAACACCCAGCTGATCGCCGCCAAGGAGAAGGAGATCTCCTACGGCATCGGGCCCCGGACGGCCTGGAGCACCGTCACGCGGGACCTCACGACGGACCTGCGGAAGGGGGTGGGCCTCTCCAGCACAAAGGCCGTCCGGCAGACCAAGATCATGCCCAAGCGGGTGGTGCGGCTGGTGGTGCGGGGCAGGGGCTTCATCGACAACGTCACCATCGCCACCACGGCCCACATGGCGGCCTTCTTCGCCGCCAGCGACTGGCTGGTGCGCAACCAGGATGAGCGCGGCGGCTGGCCCATCCTGGTGACGCGGAAGCTGGGCGAGGGCTTCCGGGCGCTGGAGCCGGGCTGGTACTCCGCCATGGCTCAGGGGCAGGCCATCTCCACCTTGGTCAGGGCCTACCTGCTGACAAAGGACCAGGCGTTCCTCAGCTCGGCTCTGCAGGCCACCGCGCCCTACAAGCTCTCTTCGGAGCAGCGCGGTGTGAAGGCCACCTTCATGGGCAAGTATGACTGGTATGAGGAGTACCCCACCTCCCCCAGCTCCTTCGTTCTGAACGGGTTCATGTACTCCCTCATCGGGCTGTATGACCTGAAGGAGACCGCCGGCGAAAAGCTGGGGAAGGAGGCCAGGCTCCTGTACGAGCGGGGCATGGCGTCCCTGAAGGCCATGCTGCCCCTCTACGACACCGGCTCGGGGACCATCTATGACCTGCGGCACTTCATGCTGGGCACTGCCCCCAACCTGGCGCGCTGGGACTACCACACGACCCACATCAACCAGCTCCAGCTGCTGAGCACGATAGACGAAAGCCCCGTGTTCAGGGAGTTCGCCAAGCGGTGGAGGAGCTACCTCAAAGGGGGCCGAGCGAAGCACAACTGAGGGGCCCGCGGGCCCAGCCCACGCCTCTCCTCCCGGCGGCCCCGGGGCTCGCCCCCTTGCAGGCGGAGCGACGGGGGCTGCGTGAGGGGGGCCCCAGCCGTGCTTGGAGAGCAAGGCTCTCGTCTGCAGAGAAGCGAGCCTGCAAGCCCTTCTGAAAGAATTGCATTCCAGTGGGTGGACACGAGGCTGCAGAAGGGAAGCCGAGGACAGAGCCAAGCTTTGCTGGCTGGTGATCCCCAGAGACACGTGCACATCGTAAAATGTGTCTGTGCTTCTGAGTTTTTCCATTTCTACGGGGGAAGACTCGGAGGTCATGAAGGATTTTGTACCCAGGGTTTGGCAGAAAAGTTAGAATGCAGCCTCTCTTCAAAAGGTGGGAGGTCGGATTGGAGGCAGATTTAAAAATTGTGTGCTTTGTCATGCCAAAAACCTTTGTTTATTGTGTCTCAGAGAACGGATGGTGTCTTTCTGTCTTTATTTTTTGCCTTGGTGCAAATGTTCAAAGCTAATTTGGTATAAGGTTCTGTGTACTGAGAGGAACTTTAAATGTCGGGTTTCTTTAGAGATGTACAAATGGGATGTTTTGTTCATGCTGTTGGGAATGAGGATTCACCAGGAATTTCTGGGAAAGCTCCATGGACAGCAAGGAAGAGCAGCAGAAAACACGCGTGTGCCTTCGAGCAACCCCCCCACCCCCACCCATTCCTCACCCCGAGGCTTGGCTGGGAGACTCCTGGTGGGGCATCCCCAGCGGCAAGTTCGGATGTTTTGTTCTGTAAGCACAACTACACACAGAACCTGCCGACTGCACAAAAATGTGCCCATCTTGTCTACGGCCAGTTCTGTGCGGCATTTTCGTGTTTGAGTAACGTCTTTCCTTCCTTCCATTGCTCTGAGATCGCTGCTTGTGTGAGTGGCTCGCTTTTGTTCCCTTTTTCATTTAAGGAGTTTCCTTCTTGGGTGAGCCGTTTCAATCCTCGGGAGACTTGGATCGGTCCCCTCAGTCAGCGTCAAGGGTTGAATCTTGGTGGAAGTCATTTGAGGGAGGGACCTCCGTTGGAGTTACACACCACAGTTGGAGCCTTCTCTGCTGCTCTCCTGGGAGGGTTGTGTCTTTGCTTTGTTTTGGCCTTTTCAGAACGGGAAAGTGGATCAGGCTTTTACGTTTGACTGGCTGTGAAGCGTTTCTCAAAAGCCTCGCCTCGTCTCAATCCACAGCACCTGCTTCTTCATAACTTTGCCAGTGCTTGGAACAGCGATAGTTACCTGGCATTTTTGCCCACATAAATCCTGAGCAGGGGCACGCTCCATGGGCCGGTGGGAGATGCTCGAGCGCAGGGCTGTGCGTCTCCCATCCACGGGTGGCCCTCCCTTGCCCCGTGAGCGCACATGCGAGGCGCTGTGGCGGGAACTCCACCGACAGACACACCTGGGGCTCAGGAAGGGAGCGAGCTGGGCCAGGGCCCGATGGCGACCCCATCCCCGTCCTTGGGCATTCCTTATCCCGAATCATGCAGTGCCAGGCGTTAGCCGCTGGCGAATTCCCGCTGCAGATTGGGAAGACACAAATCAGAGGAAGAGGCCCTTCCTTCTCTGTGGCTTTCTTACCTGCCGCGGGGGATGTTCCGGCCACGTGGGTGCCCTTGCGGTGGGGACGGTGTCTCGGACAGGTCATTCCTGCGGCCAGGACGCTTTGTTAGCTTCAGGTGCACTCAGCACTCCATTAAAGCCGGGGGCAGCTTGGTTTGCTGCTTTGCTTTTCCACCTCTCATTGCACCAGTACAGGATCACTAAAGATCTGTTCCTGCACATTCTCCGAGAAGGATCTGGCATCCAAAAAGCTTCCAGTGCTGTAGAATCCTAGCAGCTGCTGAGGCGCTGGAAGTGAGGCAAGCTTTTGGGGCTGCTCCCAAGATGTCCCCCCATTTTCATCTCTGCTTCTGGCAAATGCACATTTTTTCCACATTGCATTTCTGCGCAGGGCTGCCAAAGACTCCAGTCGTACAAGGTCAGGCTCAGGATCGGGACCTGTTGTCTTCCCAAACACTGCAGCCAGCGGGGATCCTGCACCTGGCTGGTGAACGTGTGGGTTCAAGAAGGAAATGGGGAAGGCCTCCCCCATGGCTGCTTCAGATGAGAGCCTGGCGGATCTGAGTGGGCGGGGCTTCGGGGTGCGAGAGGAGAGTCAAAGCGTCGCAGGGCCGAGCCTTTGGCACTGGCAGTCCTGACCCACGGAGGGCCCGCGGGCTGGCCGAGCGCAATGCGACTCAGCCGTCGCAGCTCAGGAAAGGAGCCAGCTGTGACCGCAGGACCCCCGAGGCCTCCTGTGCCTTGTGGCTGATTGGATTTGGGGGCGCCGTGCCACCTTGGTTCCCTCGGTCCCTTGTTAGTGCCTTCGCCCCGGGGCCCGAACGTCCCTTTGCAGTGGGACGTTAGCGTCGCAGTGGCCGCGATCATTCTGCGGGGGTGGCCCGGGGTGTCCGAGCACGGAGGGCTGCCGGCGTCGCCAGCCCACAGTTGGCACAGGGAGCCAGTCTGCATCTGGGAAACGGGCGGTGCGGTTCGTGAAACTCGCACGGGCCCCTCGCCTCTGGGGTGGCTGCGCTGGGACAGATCCTGGCATCCGCCGCTCACGGTGGCCAGGAGTGCCAGCGTAGCTCCTGCAGCTCCGGGAACAGCCACGCAAGTGGCCGGCGGGCGGGCGGGCGGCAGTCCCTCGGCCGAAGGTGGCCGTGGCAAGAAGCCCCCTTCCCCAGCCGCGTGGCCAGCACGACGGGGCGTTTGCGGCGTGCCCCCCCGTCTTCCCCGCGCTGTGCCCGCATCTCCGCCCACAGAGGCGCTGCCAGCCGTGGCACCGTTCGGGTGGAGGCGCACGCCGGGGGCCCGGGCTCCCCGCGAGCCGTGCGCACAAGGCCGAGCACTGCAGTCCTCCCGGCTGGTGCGGGGGCCTGCGCCTGGGGCATTCCAAGGAGACGCGATCCAGCGCGGCAGGCTCGTTCAGAAAGTGGGCGATCCCGGGGGGTCCGGCCGCGGAGCTGCGCAGCCACACAGGTGCTGCCGGTGCAGATGGCTCGGCCCTTGCGCCTGCGGCCTGCCGCAGAAGCGCTTTCTCCCAGAAATGGGGCGTGTTGGAGACCCGGGCCAGGCACCTGCAAGCACACCCGCTGGCCTGCCGGCGTGGCCTTCACTGCCCCGGGCGGCACTGAGAGCCGCGGGCCCCTCCCCGCCTGTGATGGCCTTGCTGTCCTCGAGAAACGAACCGAACCGAACCGAAGCGCGCTCTGCCGCATCAGGTGGGGGTCGTGCCATGTGTTAAATATGCAATAAATTGTTTACAGGAGGCCTCCGGAGGGCGCTGCGTCCTTTGGAAAGCTGCACAGACGTTGTGGTTTAAGCACAATGTGCACACCTGGGTTTCTATTGGCAAGACGTGATTTTTTGCAGTGGAAATGGCCCTTTTACGTTTCTGTATACACTATTTTATATATATGTGTGTGCGTGTGTCTGAACACACACGGACGGACACACACAATCAATCTTGTGTTTCATGGTAAAGCTGCTTTATTAAATTCTAAAATAAACATTTTTAATCCTAGCCGGTCCCTTCCTTGGCGCGGGTGCGCATGTGCGGGATGGGCAGCCCCCCCCGCCCCCCCCCCGCGGCCAGGCGCGTCCTGCGCTCGCTTCGGCGGGTGTGGGGGCTTGGCCGCCCGGTGTGGTGGTCTCGGGCGCTGGAAGCGGGTGGCTGGCGGGAAGCGCAGTGAGTCCAGGGAGCTGCAGGGCGGGGGAAGGCGGGTCGCCTCCGGCAGGCGCGCTGCAGGCCGTTTTGGCCGGGCCCGAGCCAGCCCCCCGGGCATGGGCGCTGCAGGCGGGCTCTTGTGCAGTCCTCCTGGGGGCAGGGCCCTCACTGGGCGTGGGGACAGGCCTCCGTTCCGCCGTGCAGCTTCCCGAGTGGCCAGAGGCTGGCCACTGTCGCCTGGCCTGCCTGACAAAGCTGTTGTGAGTATAACATGGTGGCAGGGAAGCCCGCCGGGTCGCTCTGTGGGGCATGCGTGTTGGGCAGGGGCGTGGGGTCCACGCCTCCCCTTGGCTGCGAGGCTCACTGGGCGATTTTGGGCCACTTGCGGACCTACCCTGCAGGGTTGCTGGGAGGATACAGTGGGACGGAGCAGGCTAGGCGAGCCACCTCGGGTTCCTTGCCGGGGGAAAGAGGTGGGATGCAGATGCGGCGCGCTAGGAATGAATATTTCAAGAGCTGCTTGTCTGGATGGACCGTTCAGACTAATCTCTCATAGGCAGCTGAGGAGTCGGTGCTGTGGCCAGGAGGAGCAGCCAGGAGCAGCACCCACGGCGAGAGCAAAAACGCCTCGGCCTCTCCGGGTGACAGCACTGATTTTCATCACTTAGCAGTTTGTTAAGAAGGGCTGCGTGGAAAATAGAGGGAGATTTAAATACGTTGTCTTGGTGATGGGTGCAGATGTTTGCTGCTCCGTCTGTGGGGAATGGAGACGCACTTGCCGTCTGCGGAGAGTGACGGGTCGCTTGCCTCGGGCTCGCTGCCGCCTGCGCATTGCCGGGCTCAGCCCTCGAATGGGCTGGCAGGGGCAGGTGACGGATCGCGGGACGTGCAAGCAGTGCCCCGGCTCCTTTGGCCCAGAAAAGCCCTCCTGCGCAGCACTTTCCGGGAACCTCTGAGTGCGAGCTGGGGCAAACGCGACACGCCCGCGTGCCTGGGAAGTGCCTCCCGGCAGGGCAGGGCAGGGCAGGGCGACCCGGAGGGCCCCCGAGCCGCGGATGGAGGGGTAGGGTCCCCCGCATGGCTGCCTGGCCTGCAGCGCGTGTGCCGGGGCCACGCCGATCAAGGGAGCCGTGGAAGGTGCTGTGGGGCGAGGCGGGGGTGACCCAAGGGGCTCGAAGCGGTGATGCAGCCCGGCCACACGCTCTGGTTGGAGGGCAGCGGAGTGCTCAGCCCGAACCCAGTGCGGGGAGATAGACAGATAGATAGAAAGAGGGTCTTCGTTCTCTTGGAGGGCACCTGGCCCGGCCCGCCTTGCTTTTCCCTTGCCGCCAGCCCGACCGATCTCTGCCATCCCCCTTTTCCCGCTGGCAGCAGCCACGCCTGCAGCGACCAGGGGAATCCTGAGTTGGGAGTGGCGCTCCTTCCAGCCGGGCTGTGCCGCCACGTGCCAAGAAGCTGCGGATGCCCAGCTCGCGAGCTCTGCAGGGGAACCATGCAGCGTTAGAAGGCCGATGCCTCCTTGCAGGCCTCCCCGCCTCCCCTTCCCCACAGAGATCGGGACCTGGCGCAGGCAGACCCACCCAGAAGCCTGCGTCGTGCTGCGCCCCGTGGCCAGGGGCGGCCGCCCGTCTCCCCCTCGGCTGCATCCACCTTCCTGCGACCTTGGGCAGCACCAGGCGTGCTGTGCAGCTTTACCTTAACTTCCCTTGCAGATTCTCTCCCGCTTCTCTAGGAGCCTTGTGACCGAGTGGCTTGTCCATCCTCTTGCGTGAAAGATTTCCTGGAGAACTGCTTTTCTGAGGAGGACTCCCAGCAGGGCGACCAGCCTCCTTCACCTTCTGTCTGCAGCCGTATCCGCCCTTTCGAACAGCTGGAACATGGACGAATTTTCAGCCTGGTTGCAAACTCTGATGTGCTTTTCCTTTCTCTTATTCCTTTCATGAACATTGAGGCTTTCACAGCACAGGAGGTCTCATGGTATCCCTGGATTCATCCACGTGATTGCAAGGTTGTGTTTATGAACATTTTTATCTTGGAGGCCAGCCATAAAACATGATTGCCTTTCAATAGCATCCCGTTTCCCACGAGGCATTCCATGAAAGCTCCTATCTCTGATAACACGGGTAACACATCGCCACCCTCCAGATGATTATGGACTACAGCTCCCATCTGCCTCAGCGAACAAGGTTTGTTTGGTAGAAAACATGTGGAGGGCCTGGTTTGCCTGCCCTTGTAATAAAAGCAGCATTTAAAAGGTGGAAAGAGCGGTGAGCAAAGACGGGAAGGCTGCGGTGGAGGACTCGGGGCTTGGAGGCCCAGAGCGAGGCTGGGCCCCAGCACCGCGACCGCCTCGCCTGCGCACGTCCCGCCTCCCCGTCCCGTGCAGCCACGGAGCGGCTTGCTCTGCGCCGAGCTTTGCGCCAGCGTGTTTAAGGGGCACTTGCTGCTTGGCTGCGTGTGCCGCGGGGGGGTGCGATTCCCCCGTTTCCAAAGCCCGGATTCCTGCTCCAGGGAGGCGAGGGGAGAGCGGGCCTGGTCCCCCAAGCCACTGCAGCAGAGCTGCCCCAACCGCTTGCCCAGGTGGCGTCCTCCGGTTTCCCTGGCAGGCTTTTGAAAGTGGCACGAAGCCGCGCTGATGTTGCTCGCTTCCCTCCCGCTGAGAGGCGCTTTGCAGGGAGGATGGCCCAGCAGCCCAGCTTGCAAAAGCCCCTGTGGACCCCCTGGCGGAGCACGGAAACCCTGCCCGGCGCGTGTTGGGCAGACCTCCTGACCCAGCCGCAGAGCTGCTCCGCGGCTGCCTGGAGCCGACCGCTTGCTTCAAACTGCGCCCAAGCGGCCGCTTCTCCCTCCTCGAACGTGCGCGGCCTGTCTCAGCCCTGGTCTCTGACCCCCTGGGAGCGTGACAAACAGCACGCTGGCTACCGGCTGTTGTGTGTGTTTATAGGTACCGGTATCCGCTCAGGTCACTTATTTCCGTAAAATACAAAAGCAAAAACCCGCTGGGTGCTGGCACTCTGCCAAACGCAGGTGGGCGCTCCAAGCACTGGCCCAGCTCGTGTGAGCTGGATGGTGCCGGATCGACTGTGGCGGAACCCAGTGGGGAGGGACTGCGTGTCGCCACTCGTCTGGAATGCGTGCCGGGCCGTCACCCATCCCTGGAGACGGATATGGCTGCTGCCATCCCCACAGAAGACCAGGTCTGCCCCCTGGGGGGCTGGCGGACCTGCCCGCCCTCTCAGGCACTCCACATGGCACCTTTTTAAGTTTCATTGTGATTTCAACCATCAGAATCCTACCATCATCAGCAGCTAAGATATATTTAGGGTCTAATTTTTCCTTGAGGTATAATGCTAAACCTCTTTTCTTTTGAGAAGCAGAAGACATAAATAGCTTTCCAAGCTTAAAACACTCCAGAAGCTTACTTTGTTGTTTCTTAATATGTGTTTCTTGTAGGCAAATTGTATCTAGCTTCAGTTTTTGGAGCTGAGAGAAGGTCCTTCTCCTCTTGGAGGGCCCGTTTAGTCCATTTCCATTTAGAGAGAGCAGTTCAATTCTTCCTTCCCTTTTGAAAGCCATTTTAAAGGATGTATATTTATCTACTTGCGCTTCGCCTTTTCACTTCTACCTTTTCTCTTTTCCTTTGGTTCCAGTGTCTGTTCCTCTTGTTGTAAGTCTGTATTCGCTATTTGTCCTTCTTCAGAATGGTATGCTGTGAATTCCATTGGTTCGGCACCTTTCCCTCCTTCTTCTGAAACACCCGATTCTTCCTCTTCAAATATACTTCTAAATTTTTCATAAAACTCTTGTGCCTTGAAGATTGAGTCCAATTTACCCCTTGGAGAGTTCCAGGTGAAAAAAATTCCTTCTGGCGTTAGCCACCTAAACATGATCTCTTTCTTAATCAGTTTTGTGGTAAGAATTAAGTATTTGTTTCCTCCTTCTCTAATCCTCCATGGTATTTGTTTCAAAATAGTCACCTCATGATGCTCATCAGCCTTTGAAGGTTTATCATGTACAGCCCTCAAGACATTGTCTCTTATAGACCTTTTTGCAAATTTAACATGAACTTCCCTCGGAAGCTTGTGTTTCCTAACGTAACTTGAATTTACCCTATAAACAAGGTCATTATTTGTGACCACCTCTTTGTTTTCCAGATCCAATGCCTCTGCCAGCATAGTAATTATTAATTCCCTTAAGTCCTCATTCTTTCCCTCGGGTATGTTCTGGAATCTCAGATAATTAGATGCCTTCTCCATCTCTAATATAGTAAGTGAATCCCATAATGACTTGTTTGTTTTAATAATTGTGTTTCTTTGATTAAGTACAAGTTAGGGGACAAGTGGCTGGAGAGCAGCGCTTGTGAAAGGGACCTCGGGGTGCTGGTCGACTGCAGGCTGAACATGAGTCGGCCGTGTGATGCGGTGGCCAAGAGGGCAAATGCCACCCTTGGTTGCAGAGCCAGAAGCGTGGCTTCTAGATCAAGAGAGGGATCTACCACTCTATATGACTCTGGTGAGCCCGTAACTCGAGTATTGTGCTCAGTTTTGGGCCCCTCGTTACAGGAAGGATATAGCCAGGTTGGAGTCAGTGCAGCGCAGGGCCACAAGGCTGGTGGCCGGTTTGCAGGAGATGCTGCATGAGGCGAGACTGAGGGAACTGGGTCTCTTCAGCCTGGAGAAGAGGAGACTCAGAGGGGATCTGTTGGCGACATACAGGCATGTGAGGGGGTGTCACACGGAGGTGGGCAGAGACCTGTTCTCCCCTGCAGAGGAAGGCAGGATGCGCTCCAACGGAGCAAAGCTCAGGGAACCAAGGTTCCGTTTGGATGCCAGGAAGCTCTTCCTGACAGTCAGGAC